ACCCTTTGTCTCTGTGACAGTTCCTCAGGATTCAGGGTCTCCAGCTGGAACCTCCAGCTCACTGAGCTCAGACTGTCCTAACTGCTCGAGCAGGGAGGGAGGCGGGCTTCTGTGGCTGTGGGTAGAACCTGTTCCCAAGGCTCACACAGTGAGCGCGGGGCTCCCGAACACCAAAAATATTTAGAGGCGATTGACTCTCAGGAATATGGTACGTAGTAATTGGAAGTTGAACCACGTAACTTTTTAATTACTTTCCGGTTTTGTTGTGTTATGGAAATACTGTACTACGAATACTTCTAAAAAGCCCCCTTCACTGGTGGGTTCTGGGACTGTGGATAAAGCTTCATTCTCTTCCTTAGCCCTACCCAAGCTACACCGAACTCTTCCATCCGACCAGAGGTGCTGCAGTCAGCAGCTTCTCCTTTACCTCGCTGGCCAGGCAGCTGGATCTTTTCTCACTAGCACCCTCCCCACCCCCAACAGCAGATTAGCATACATCCTCCTCATTTTTTTTCCAGTCCAGCTCACATGTCTCTTTTTCCGAGTCATTTCAACTCCATATCACTGCCCCCGAACAACAGGTAGTAATGCATGACTCCTAGGCCTCCAAAGCATTGTGTCCCGTTAATGGAGCACTTACTCTGCAATGAAATCTGGGTGCCTGTGGTCTACAGAACCAAATCATAACATCCGCAGGCGGAGGACAGTCTTCCTCACGTCTGTGTTTGTAACTCCTAGCGCAAACAGAGAACTCGGTTGCCTTGTGCGTCAGTTGTTTAAAGGTTAAGCGTACATTCTGCATTTTGGTTCACACTGATCATATCTCAGAAGTATGTCTAAATAAGCATTACGAAGTCGAACATCATACAACTTAGATAAAGTTGTTCACCACAAGACGTTGGGAGAGTCAGTATCCCACTTTGAGAGAGCCTAAATTAAATAGTTACTGGTGTATTTATTTTACTCATTTTCTACACTAGGTGGATTGGCCCAGAAATTAGAATTCCAGTCTGGTGCCCAGAAGACCAATCATGTCGGGGATGGGAATCTTGGGAACCTTCCCTGCTCCCACCTCTTCCCACTCCCATCCTGGGTTGCAAAATGTCGGAGCCTTGGGGCAAGAGAGTGAGAAAGCATACTCCAGTGTGTGCTCTCGCTGTAGTGGTGGAGCTTCGCGTGTCCCTTTGTGACGTGTGTGTGTTGCATGCCAGTGTCCATGGACCCGGCCAGTCTGTGCTTCACCCAGGCCTCAGCTTCCTGGAGCATGAGTCGGCTGACGCACGAGAGCTAGCTCGGTTTCACTCGAGGGCTTGGGAACAGACCAGCCCTTATTTTTTGGGTACCAGTCATGGATTCTCTAGGCCCACCCTGAACATTGCTTGTAAGGCATCTGTCTTTTTGAGCAGAGTATTTCAGTCTCTGGAAAAACCTGCCAGAATCAAAAGGCTTGGTTGCTTGTATTTGACTTTGAGGTCCCTGGCACACTCAGCAAAGTCTTGAACTCTTTGAAAGGGAAGGTAGAAGCTACAGAATTGTTTGTTGCTGTAGTTGAAATCTCTAGGAGGTTACACTAATTTAGAAAATGAAATTGTTTTTAAATGCGCTAGGAGGTTTGGGATTACATGCAGCTGGCCGAAGGCCGTGCTCGTTGGTGAAATAACACCTGGGAGTGGGCTCGCGGTCCGTGGAGGCTCTGAGGAATGGGCCTCCGGCCTGCAGACCTCAGGGCACCTCTGTCAGCCGCAGAGGCAAATTGACGGGAGAGAACATCACAGTAGTTCAGAGGGGGGGACTGGGAGGCAAGCGGATGACATTCTTAGCCGGGATTTGGGGAATGAAGGTGACATGTTCGTGGGATGCTGAAGCGACCAGGGAGGCCGATGGCACCTAAAGAAGGGGTCTGACTGTACACAGCCTTGAAAACCAAACACAATCGAAACGAGAAACTGTAGCCAACATGGCTCTGTGCATGGGAGTGGCGTGCTGGAAGTGGGATGTGAGGACAGGTGGTTTCCCGGCCGTGTGAGGTTGGGTGACAGCGGGGTGACAATGTGAATTTCGTTCACACCTAAAGGAAACTCAGGCATCTGCTGGATTGGCCTGGTCACCGACTCCGGGTCTGATCTTAGGGAAGTGAGTCATTATGGTGGAGGTGAAGTGGACGAGCAGGTCACCAGGGTGCCCCCAGAAAACTCACTTCATTTTGCCATAATTCATGTTTCTTTCAACAGTGAGGTCCTTTGTTGTTGCTTCTATTCAAGGGGAAAAAAGTCTTTTTCAGGGTCACATTACCTAAAGGCTGCTAGACACTGACAAAGAAAGTAACAGCACAAAACCATACTGGGAAGGACGTTTTTAGTGTTTGAGAAGCAAGCCAAAAGCAGCCACGCTCATAGAGAGAAAAGCACAGAGTCTTCTTGTTGACGAACGGCATGCAGATTTTGTCAAGAAAAAGGAACCATTCTTGGTGAAATGGGTTATAGTCAGTATAGGGCAGAAATGTTGAACTGTCCAGTTAGAATTTCTGCATTTTGTCAAGTGCAATACACCCAGACCTGCAAGCTTTCCCTGTGGGGCCAGCCCGTAAGAGCTCACCTGCCCTTCCCCAGAGGGAGACCCCAGAGAGAGCTGACTCCTTGACACTGACCTTAGCTTGTTTGCCATTGCTTTCGCCACTCTCCCCTTGCAGGCTAAAGATGAGTGAGTGGAAATCCTTAGACAAGGTCCTGGTCTGAAAGAAACAGGTGACTGCAAGTTACTCAGTTCAGAGGACCTTACATGATAACAGTGTTTGTGAAGCCCCCAGAGGCAACACATGTGCATGTGACATGCTATTGAGCCAGCAGAGCCCCCAAGTGGCGTGGGCTCCCTTAAAAATCGGACCACTCCGTAGCCCCTGGGTCTGAGCCTGACTGGAAGGGGCCGCTGGTGGGGGTGGTACCTTGGGACTCCTTTGGTTTCCCCGGCTCTCGTTCCTAGGTGTGGAGAACAGGTGCGTTGTGGTGACTAGGAATGGCTTAGCTCAAAGTTCTTCCCTGGGCTGCATATTGGAAGTGTATATCTACACACACACACACACACACACACACACACACACGCTTCTACCCTCCTTTATATGCACAGGCACAGATATCCTTACTTAGGCCTTGATTTTGTTAGCAATATGCTCTCTGTTACCACTTAGAATTCTTAGTCATGTGACTAGTATGACCCAAAGTTGTAACATGCTGGCACATGCCATTCCTGACCCAGATCCACTGATAAAAAAATCACACTTCCTCTTCTTGAAATGTGTGGGTCCCCAACACCTGTCGGACTCGGAGTAGGTGGGGGGTGGTACTCAGGGTGCCAAAATGTGTTTTTGTGGCTTTTGTTTTTTCACTTATGAGTACTGTTCTCCACAAGCATAGGGCTTCTCACTGTGGCTGCACACTGGAGGCATTGGAGGAACTTTATAAAATAGAAATACGTGGGCCCTGTCCCCAGAGATCTGATTGAAGAGGTCTGGGTGAGGCCTGGGTACTGGGGCTTTTTAAACTCCAGGCAATTGTATTGCATGGCCAAGGTTATAACTTGCCCCTCTCCAGTTTTCCACCAACATTTTCCATCTCCCTGAAGTAGAAGCCAGGTCAGGATCAGCCTTTGGATCTAGGCCATTACGACTCCTAATTTTAGCCCTAGACTTTCAGATCGGTCAGTGTAGAGGATGCAGCCCAGAGGAGATGGACTTTCTTTCCCAGGTGGTCCTTGCCGGTTGGCCAAAAAGAGAACGGTGACAGAGAGGCTCCATGTGCATTGGAACTGGAATTCTAGGCTGGTCTTCACATATTATGTCATTCTTACTGGTTTATATTCATCTTGAAGATGAAAGTCACAACTACATTATTTAGTTTTAACTTCATAAGTATAAATATTCTAGTTGTCAGAATCTTTTTTCTCTCTAGTCCAAACATGTCCATGATGCCTGAGAGCACACACATTAATGCAAATACTTCATGAGGAAAGAAACTCAGAAAGATGATGAGTAAATCCCCACCATATGGCCTCGGAAGAATTAGTTATTCAAAGCTAGTTTACTACTAGCTTTGGCCTTGTGGGAAATGGGTGGATAACAAATCTAGCAAACTTGAAATGACCAGTTTGAAGTGATTGCTGAAAAACTTTTTTTTTGTAATGGAATTATCATGTAGGCAAGGACTTTAAGTTAAAAAAAATAGCATGATTCTTTCCCTGAGAGTAAACTAAGTTACTTTGCCAAAAACAGCCCTAAACCGGGTGCCAACACAGAGAAATCAGTGCAGGGAGAGAAAGCGGTGCAGCGGACCCATCCTGCTGCATGTCCGGCGACGCCGTGTGAGCAGTATCAGTGTTCCAGCGGTGGTATCGCAGGTCCCGTCACTGTGGGACTGAATACGGTGCCACATTTCATTGAAGCAGGAAGCACACTTCGGTCTGTGTGCGGAGCAGATAAGCTGGAGCTGAAAGTCCAGTGGTTGGCAGAGGGCCAGAACCTGTGCCCCCAGCTGCCTGCTGCCACGCGAGGCTCCAGACACCTCAGTGTCAGGCTGAGTGCTCTGTCCCGGGCTGGGACACGCTCCTTCAAACACGTGTCCTGTGGAGTGACCACCCCTCTCCCCAGTCTCTTCACATCCCTGTTTCCTGTCCCCCTCCTTGCCTGTTCAGAACTTTGAGTCACAGAGGACTTGACTTTTGTTGGTGGTGCCGCTGCCCTTCACGAGCAGTTGTGTGAAAGTGTCGGTGCCTTTGCTCAGCAGGTCTTGGAGATTGTTATTTTGACTCATGGGTCCTTTTGGTGAGTGGCTGGCCTGGTGATAATTCTGAATAGTAAGTTTGGAATTTTATGAATCAAAAAGACAGAGTTCCCAGTGCAAGTTGAAACGTGGGAGAATGCCCCGTGGGCTCTTCTGAGTCATCCAGGGAGCGGGGGAGAGGAGAACTTCATGGCGCTAATGGGCACTTCGCTTTATTCTGCCCTGCAGGTCCCCCTCCTGCTTGCTACAGTCCCAGCAGTCCTGGCCAGATTCTAGAAGAGTCCAGCTACTTTTTCCCAGACTTTCTGCTCTACGCTGGGAGGCATGAAGCACCTGCTTTGACTGTGGAGCCAAACGGTACCATCAGGGAAAAAGTTGGTGAGTTCTTTCACTTCTTTCATTGGCACTTGTGCTGTAAACAAAATGACTTTATGTGTCCCGTTTTTTAGCTCCTTTTGTATAATGTTTCTCCTCTATGCTCATTTTAAGAAATCAGCATATGGGGCTATTGGTTGTCTCTTTATTGGCAGATGCCTTATTTTTAATATTTGTGCTATGGTGTTAATAGACTATTTAGCTATAATTTGTGACTCTCCCAACAGAAAGTTTCTAAACATGTAGGAACTCCAGAATTATGCCATTTATTTTCCCTAATTTTTCTCTAATTCCTAAATATTTCTTGTACTCTTTCCAAGGAATCTTTTCTTTTTTTCTTTTTTTTTTTCCCTCTGCACTTCATTGTTATCTTCTGGCAAATAATTCAGAAGTTCAGAAGAAATTCAAAACTACAATAGGGAGGTAATTGCTTCCTTTATAAAAACTCCTGGCCTATTTTTGAAGTCTTTTGGGATTGGTAAAACTATGAGGGAATTTTTAAAACCACTTTAGGGAAGGACCTGAGGGTCCAGATAGGCTTATGAAAAGATAATTTAGTAGTTTTCATGCTTGAGAAGACCTCGTTCCTTATATATATATGTTTTAGAGAGAGGGCAAGAGAGGGAGAAAGAGAGGGAGAGAAACATTGATGCCCCGCCCAGTGACCAAACCCACAACCAAGGCGTGTGTCACGGCCGGAAATTGAACTGGCGACCTTTCACTTTGCAGGACAACACCCAACCAACTGAGCTACACTGGTCAGGGCCCCCAGTCCTTTTATTATTCACCCCCAAAATATAATTTTCCTCTGGAAACATTTTTATTTCAATAGAATTTTTATTCATTTTATTAAAACATACTGATTTTTATCTGTGAATTGCCTTTTCCATTAAGCCTTTTAGATCAGTCATCCGAGGGTGAGGGCTGCCTTTTTACCCTCCTGCCCTGGCGTCTGTCAGGGTGCCCGACTGTAACAGATTTTCGGTCCATCTTTGCTGAGCGAATGATGACCCACTTCCACCCACACGGACCACCTTTTCCTTGGGTTGTTCATCACTTACTACAATTATTTGGCACTCATCTGGTATAGACTTTCAGTGGTCTGATTTTCCTATTTAAGTTTTTTACTGTTGAACTCTGGATTTCTATTTCAGTTATGAGTCCATTCTCTGAAGGTAAAGAGTAAGTTTGCATGTACTCCGCATGTAGTCCTATCAGGCACAAGTGAAGTCGGCCCATTTTATGGAGGAGAGAGCTTCAGAGAAACTGAGTGATTTGCTTGAGGTCACAGAGGTGTGATTTGGGGGAAACAGGGAGAAAGATGTGATCAGAGTTGAGCTTCAGGACCCAGCCTGTGAAGTTCTTTAGTTTATTCAGCAGTCGCTTCCCGAAGGCCTTCTGTGGGTCAGGGTCGTATTCTAGGCACTGGGGACGCTGCATCGACTGTAACAGATAAAACCTTCACCCTGCGGTGCTTGAATCCTAGTAGAGGAAGACAGATAACAAATACCAGTTGGACTGAAAAGAGAAGAGGCCAGAAGCAAGAGATATTAGGAGGCTGCTCGGGGCAGCTGACCCACTGCTGAGCAGAGCCAGCACTGGGGAGCAGCTGAGGGCACGGAAGCTAGGGTTGCAGTCTTCGCCATTGCAGGGACACTAAAAATGTCATCTACTGTCACCTTCTCTCGTATTTGAATGCCAAAAAGAGTAAGTGAAAGGTCTCCTTGACAGACCTTGCCAGTGAAAGACAGTGAACCTAATGATGTGTGTGTGTGTGCGCACATGCTCACGTATGTGTGAGTACATGTTAGTTTACATGTCTTGTAAGCATATCATACCACCTTTATTTTCCCTCATTTCACTGTGGACTAAGAAAACCTAGCATGGCAGTTAAGTAACTGTAGGGAGCAAAGGAGACAAAGGGTCCAGAGTAAACCTAAAATTTCTATCAGAATGACTGCCATTTATAGGTGTAAAAAAAAAGGCAACCTTGGGGAAGAAAGACAGTTTTGGGGGAAATGGCGTGTTCTATGTATATACAGAGACAGAGAGCCATCATTGCATGGAATTGCAGCACTGAAAGCTGCTTAGAGATGATCTAGTTCAACCCCCTCAATCTATAGGTGAGGCTTTCAAACTAGAAGAGAGTACGTGATTTGCTCAGGGTCATGCCAGGAGTGAATGGTAGGACATTTACTCTCATAATGCTATATGATATCCTCAATATACTACTTACTAGCACTGTTGCGAAATGGGCTAAATTTTACACTTCATGGAAATCATGTAGTATTCTTTTCCTGGTTAAATGTTTGATCCCCCTCACTGGGTAGCGTGCTAGGGAGACCCAGACAAGAAGGCATGATCTTTACCTTCAAGGAGGTTAGAGTCTTGTGTAGATAAGTAATTGCCATCTGCTGTGGTAACTGCTCTACTGAGGTATGTGCGAGTGCAGGAGGGCTCAAGCCTGCTGGGCTGCAGCAAAGGATCTCCTCAGAAGGTAGCGTTGGCGCCATCACAGGAAGCATGTCTAGGAATCACCCAGGAGGACATGGTGAACCACATCTTTCTAGGCAGAGGGACAATGTGAGCAAAGGCCTAGAGGCCAGAGAGAGCTAGCGTGTCTGGGAGCTATATATGTTCTTAGGTATTGTTGGAGCTTAAACTTCAAAGGGTTGCTGGTGAGGGCAGGCGGTGGTAGCGTGAAGTGTTGCTGGGTAGGTAGGGCGGTAGCCACTGCGCCGTGGGATAGAATGTCAGTTTCATGTGCCGTTTATTATTGAGGATTTTTGTGCAGAGGATTGGTGTGGTTAGGTTTTCCTATTGGAACAACCTTGCAGGGTAGTGCGGGAGATGGGCTAGGGCCTAAGGGGGTGGGTTTGGAAGTAGAAGTGAGACTAGTGTCAGGGAAATAAATGAGCCGGCTGTTGGAATGAATGGTCTGGGGGCACCATGGGCTTGTAAGGCGTGGAGTGAGCATAGATTTTGTTGTGGAATGCATCACATCCTGGCTCTGTCTCTTCCTACCTCTGGACCTCTGTGATGTACCTCTTCTTAAACCTCTCTCCTGATCTGAAAGGTTGGGGAATTGATATCTAGCGCGTAACTGCGTATGGAACGAATGAATATATGGAGATAATTCAGTGTAGTGGCATATCACGTGCACTTTAAAAAACGGTTCTTGTAGTTGTATTGTAGTTATGAGTAATCCCGTTGGAGATCGGGCATGGGAATAAGGAGGAAAGCTGGGAGAGAGACTTTGGAGGTAGGATTGACAGGCATTCACTGACTAGATGTTGTGGTTAAGGAAGAGGAAGGGATTCTGGAAAACACCCAGGTTTCTGGCTAGGCAAAAATTAGACAAAGCAGTGATTACGGGATTGGTTGGGTGTGTACACCTTTCGGGGTGAAGAAGGCATGTTGAGTTTGAAGGACTGACGGGCCATTGGCTGGCAGCTGTGGGTCGTGAGTAGGTCCTTGAAGGTGAGCAGTGGGTGTGATGACCCAGGAGGTTCTGTCAAGTGGGGGTGGAAGAGCACTCAGAGCAGAGCTGCGGGGAACACCAGGATTCAAGGGGCAGGTGGAGAAAAGGGAGCCGGAGGAGTGGACGGAGAAGCAGAAGCCAGGACCTGGTTGCCGAGTTAGGAGAGCATTTCGAGAGTGGGTGATCAACATGCCAGGTGCCCCAGAAGGCTTGGTTATGTAATATGAGCGCTGGAAAATTCTCGCTGGTCTGGGTTACTAATCAGAGCAGGAGGGAGGGCAGCGCGTGGGCGATGCTTCCTGAGGACATTTAAAAGTGGAGGGAAGGAGAGAGGCAGTGTGGCAGTCAGAGGGACATGTGGGCCGTGAAAAGTAGGTTCCTTTTTGTTTGGTTTTGGTTTTTGCATGTCTTTTTTTAAGATAGGAAAGACTTGTATGAAGAAGAGAAGGGGCCAGTGGGGAGATTAAAGGGAAGGCAGGGGGTGAAGAACGGAGCTAGGCCTGGGAGGAGGCGGGAGGTGAGAGAAGGGAGATACTAAAGACCGTTTTTGAACTGGCAAAACACTTCCATGAGAAACTGCAGGAAACCCGGAGTTGGTGGTGGATTTGAAATCTTGTTACCTGCTGCTGTGGTTAGAATGTTCATTATTTACGCTTACTGACAGGCCTATATTCCTGTGCAACCACCTGATACCTTTCTTCCTCTGTTTATCTTTTAGTTGAGGATCCTCTTTGTAACTTCCACCCCCCGAACTTCCTGAGGATCTCAGAGGTGGAAATGAGAGGTTCGGAGGATGCGGCAGCTGGAACAGTATTGCAGCGGCTGATCCAGGAACAACTGCGGTATGGCACCCCGACCGAGAACATGAACTTGCTGGCCATTCAGCACCAGGCCACAGGGAGTGCAGGACCAGCCCACCCTACAAACAACTTTTCTTCCACGGAAAACCTCACTCAAGAAGACCCACAAATGGTCTACCAGTCGGCACGCCAGGAACCGCAGGGTCAAGAACACCAGGTGGACAATACGGTGATGGAGAAACAGGTCCGGTCCACGCAGCCTCAGCAGAACAATGAGGAACTGCCCACTTACGAGGAGGCCAAAGCACAGTCTCAGTTCTTCAGGGGGCAGCAGCAGCAGCAGCAACAGCAGCAACAGGGGGCTGTAGCTCACGGTTACTACATGGCGGGGGGCACCAGTCAGAAGTCCCGGACTGAGGGGAGGCCCACGGTGAACCGTGCCAACAGTGGGCAGGCGCACAAGGACGAGGCGCTGAAAGAACTGAAGCAGGGCCACGTCCGCTCTCTCAGTGAGAGGATCATGCAGTTGTCCTTGGAGAGGAACGGTGCTAAGCAGCACCTCCCTGGCTCAGGGAGTGGCAAAGGCTTCAAGGCAGCAGGGGGACCCTCCGTAGCCCAGCCTGCAGGTAAAGTGCTGGACCCCCGGGGCCCTCCTCCGGAGTACCCCTTCAAGACCAAGCAAATGATGTCCCCAGTCAGCAAGACCCAGGATCATGGACTTTACTACAGTGACCAGCACCCTGGGATGCTCCACGAGATGGTCAAGCCTTACCCTGCTCCTCAGCCCGCGAGAACGGAAGTGGCCGTCCTGAGGTACCAGCCGCCCCCAGAGTATGGGGTGACGAGGTGATTGTCGAGCCTGGCCGGTTCTCTCAGCTTTTCGAAAGCCAGCAGTCATGTTTTTGGCATTTGTTAACACTTTTCAAGGCATGTTAGGTTTTTGTCATCACATTTTTTTCTCTTGTGCATAATATTTAATAAGCCACTTTTTGGCCAAAATATGTAGAGTGGAACAGAACAGAGGGCAACTGAGGATTCAGGAGTTTAGGGGAGGAGTCTCAGTTGTTGGCCATCCTTGGGAGCTCTGCCTGGTGGCCAGGCAAAGCAGGAATTTTCCTGACCGCCTTTGTGGAGAACATCCAAACTCCTGGAACATATTATTACTACAGGGTTTTATGGAATCTTTCTTCATTGTAGATTTTAAAGGAAAATGAATGCTAGAACAGAGGACTGAAAGGGACCATGGAAATCATATAGCCCCACCCCCTTATTAAACAGATGATGAGCTAAAGCCTGAAGAGATGAATAAATTTCCACAGTACACACTCTGAGGCAGCTGGAGTATCCTGATCATCAGAATCTTTTCCCTCCATTGCCCTAATTCCTCTTCCAACTGGTTGATAGATTCAGCAGCACTTACTGAAGGTGTACGCTGTGCAGCTCTGTGCCAGGGTCAGAGATAAAGATGCGGTCTCGGGGAAACAGCATCTGAATATTGCAGTGTGGCATGCTGTTTTAGGGTAGAAGTGTGCAGAGAGCACTAGGGGACCCAAGAGGATAGTGTCACTCATAGCTGCAGGGAGTAGGGACAGCTTCATAGAGGAGGTGACGTCTGAGTTGGGTCTTCAAGGATATGTAAGGGTTGTGGTGTAGAGATGAAGTAGTAGGATGGATGTATTATGTAGGGGGAATGTCATCTCTCCAGACAAACCATTTAGGTCCTAAATTTTGCAGTGCACTGCAGTGATGCAGAATGTGCAGCAGTGCGCTGCAGTGATGCAGAGTGTGCTGCAGTGATGCAGAATGTGCTGCAGTGATGCAGAGTGCGATGCAGAGTGTGCTACAGTGATGCAGAGTGCACTGCAGTGATGCAGAGCTGCTGCAGGATGGGATGGGGTGTGGTAGGAAGTGGCAGAAGATGTGTTTGGACAGGGAAATTGAGACCAGTGGGTGAAGATCTGTAAGTGTCATGCTACGGAGTTTAGAATTTATCCGGAAACAACTGTTTTTACATAGAGGCTAAGTTGATGTTTGATAGAAAGGCTGGCTTCAATGGCAGAAAGGACGAATTGGAGGCAAGGGAGCAGGGGGGCCATGAGGACCTTCAGGGACAGTCTCAACAGTCCAGAAGAGAATTACTGAGGGTGCTGTGGGTTTGAGGCCACAGTGCAGGGGAGCTCTGTATGCTAAGAGTCAGGGAAATAGAATTGACAGGATTCAGTGATTGTGTAGATAAGAAAGTAGAAGAATAGGGTGATTGAAAATAAGACAACTGGAAATCAAGTTCTGAGGAGAGAAATTAGGTCTGAAGATACATATTGGGGATTTCCCAGCATTTAAATGTTGCTAAATTTGCTTGCGGGGAACATGAAGTATGAGAAGAGGAGACAGGTGGCCACTGTCTATTTATTGGATATGTCTTCATTCCCACAAAGGGCTTTATTTATCTGTTTCTAAATCAAATGTGCTGAGGCTTCTGATGCAACCCCCGTGGCTGTGTGCAGGGCATAGCTCGGCTGCACATCTTCTGCAAAGGCAGTGACTGGGCCTTGGCAGCCAGAGAGCTGGCCCATCATCCACTCACTTCCCAGCACTGGCACATCCCTCCCCCACCCCCTCACTAGGCTGGGAACGCCAGCTTTGAAGTACTTGCTGAGATGTAGACTTCCAACAGGCAGCAGAAACTGTTTCCTCCCAAAGTGGGCGTGGTCCGACTCCACTGGGGACTCCCAGGTGGGGTTCCTGCTCTTACCCTTTTACAGTTCCTTAAGCCAAAGGAGAAATTTAAACTCAAAACTATCAGGTTCGAAGAGGGAAAAAAAGTAGTCTTCAAATTTCTGGTATTTGTACCACATTGATTCACCATAGTTTAAAATAATCCTTGGTGTTTACCCTAGAATGGTATCAGTGTTTGGTTTGTGACATTTCATTTTTCCTGAATGTTTAACTCAACCTCTAGAGCTTGCCAAGAAGGTTAAAATATCCCCAAATGCAGTCTCTTCCTTCCCTTTGCCTTAACTGTTTGTTAAATGGCAGTGCATAATGTGGATTGGTTTGCTGCTACTTTTTTAGGAAGATATTTATTTTTTCTATTTTTAAATCATTTTCCTTCTTTTTTAACGTTTGCTTTTTGTCACTTGGCAATGGGTGTGATATAAGGTGGGAGACATAGGAAGGCGAGGAGGGAAGCACTTCTTGGAGATCTATTCCTTTATTTGTGGAGAGTCATTTGTCTCAAGTTTGTGACGTCAAAAAAAGAGGACGTGTATGAGGAACTTGAGTCACCAGCCAAGCTTGGCAGCTGGTTGTGCATGACATCAGAATGTCCTAGGAGACGTAACAGACAGGCCATTGAGGCCGGGCCCCGGCACTACAAGGCCCCTTTGTGAGCCTGGCCATGCCAGCCAGCCAGCATGGCTCCAGCGGCACAGCTCTCGGCCGACAGGGTACACAAAGTTGCATCCACACCAGTCCTGCTTCAGATGCTTTCTCTGTGGCCCAAACTCCAAGGGTTGGCTCTGAAACTCAGCAGTGAGTGAGGTTCAAGCTGTCTTTGCCCCAGAAGATGGGCAGGACTCTCCAGTTTCACTGACATATTCCCTTGTGCTTAAAGGGTTATCTGTCCTAAATGGCGATGGTTGAGGAGGCTGCCGGATGCTGGGTCAATATATCATAGACTTCTGGATGAGAAGGATGGCCTCTGAGTGCAGTAACGGAGTCCATCTCCTTGCCTGATGCTTCAGAAATGGGCTCGATGTTCTGCTAATATTTATTCTCTCACCTGCTCTGATCTGCTAAAGATGGAGATGTGGGTGGATTACTGTAAAGCACTTTAGGCCCTTTTCGTGGGAAACACCACGGAGAGGCCACTAGTGAAGGCCTGGTGCTCTTCCCCAGTGTTCGTTGTGGGTGAGCTACAAACCTCCATCAGTGAGGCTGCTGGAGGCGGAGGCACTACGGTGACCTCACCAAGGTAGCTGGTGGGGACCCCGGGGAACAAGAGCCGGCCGTGGGTAAAGGCTCTGGTTCGTTCGGCTCCATCTTCCTCTTTCTTCAACTTGAAAGTGGAAATGGGTAGAAGTGAAGGCAGGGTGAGGATGGGACAGGCTGTTCTACGGAGAATTATTCCTCTGGGGAAAAAAAAAAGGCAAACGTTTCGATGTTAATCTGTGAAAACAGCACTTTCAGAAGCTGCAAGTTGGCTTATACCATCTGTCCTGTTCACGGAAGAGAATGCATGAAATGAGTATCAGTGGATGATCTGATTTTTATCAAAGCAGTTTGGAGTACAGTAGTCAAATGCATGTTTATTTTGCAAAAAAACCTGCCCATATTTCTAAAGTGGGAAGTAAAATTGCTAAAAAATTACTTAAAATACACTACTTCCTTAATATAACCACTATTAATATTTTCCTATACAAATTAATTTTTTATGTTATAATCATAGATTCTACTCAGTTTAGTATCTTAGCTTTTTTTAGATAGTATTTTATCACATTTTTCTCATGGTGATGGTTTTCACCTTTTTATTGCTGCATTTCATAAGGTATATAATTTACATTGCTTTATAAATAACGTTGTGAACATCGTCATGTGTATCAAATTTTAATAATCACTATTTAGAAATGCAATTATTGGGTAAAATTGTAATGAATATTTAATGACTTCTGACACTGGATAACTTTGTAAGAATGTTACAGTGCCTGTTTCACTGTACTTTGACCAACATTAGGTCATTATAATTAGAAAAGCTTTGCTAATCAGTATTAACTCCTTATTTAATTCACAATTATCAGCTATGCTAAATTTTGGTAGTTAGGTTTATTTGACCTGGAGTATTGGTTCTTTATGTTTGTGTTCATTTGATTTGATACATATGTTTGATGGATTCAAAGTAAACGGAAACCTGTGTGTTCTCTAACGGTTGCTCTAATGTCCCAGTTTCTAGAATTCCGCTTCCACCCTTAGCAGGTAACGACGGAGCGGAGGAGGTAGCCGGAGGACTCACCTTGCAAGCGTCCACCGTGTGCCGGGCATTTTGTGTGGGTTGTTCTTAATCTTCACACCAGTCCTAAGGGGCGCATGCTGCAGATGTCCCTGTTCTCACAGATGACAAACTTAGGCTTAGCCAGGTCCCCAGTAGGGGCCACTGCGGAGGGAGAGATGTTTGTCTCTCCCTCTCCAGTGCAGAAATGTTTCTCTCCCTCTCTTTCTCCCTCCCTTCCTCTCTCTAAAAAAAATCAATGAATAAACTTAAAAAAAAAAAACAACTTAGGCTTAGAGAGAGAGAGTAAAGTAATTTAGTCACGGGCACCAGTTCCAAAGTGCATCGTGGCCAGGAGCAGACCTGGGTGTTTGTCATGCCCTGCAGGTGGAGGCAGACGGGTACATGTCCACTTGGTGTCACTCATCTTGTGAGTTTGTATGTCACACCTGGTGCCCAGCCTGGACTCCGCCCACCCCTCTGGCTCTTTTCAGGAAGACCAGGATACTGATTAAGTATTCCAGACTCTGGGAGGAAAGTCCTCCGGGTACCCTTTCTCTCCGGATGTCAAACTTAACCTTGCCGACAGCTGTGGCTGTGAACTTGAGTCTGTCTCGAGTGAATTTGCTGTCGTTTGCAAGTGAGGACTCGGGACAGTATTGTTTATTGCCTTAGCCGATTTTTAGCAGAATGTTTCAGTTATGGAGAATAAGCCCTATTTTGGTGATTAATTTTTGTGTTCAGGTAGTATGAGTTTGGAAAAAGTCATTGCTGTTGGTAAAAAGAGCCTTTTTCCACTCTTTGAGCCTCTCCATTGCCTTTCTTGCCCTCTACCTGGGCTGAATCTTGCCCATTCAGCATG